CCCCAAAACCCCAAAACCCCAAAACCCCTCTTTGAATGCGGAAATTGAAATATTGATAACACGCATTAATTGAAGTTAAGCGATTTAAGCATTAAGATTTGCAGCAGGATACTCTGACATCAATTCAATAATATCGTCAAGATACTCTTCAATGCTGTTGCCCATGAAAAATGATAAATGCGACTGACTATAAAACGGATTGTAAATTTGTAGATTCTCTTAAATACTAAAAACAAAGGAGTACTTTTCCCACAAAAATTTAGGTGGACGTTCAAGATTTGTTAATAAAATCATAAAAACTTACCCTTCATATGTATGGTCAAAAATAGTATTTTGCTCTAATTTGCTTCTAACCCATTGTGCGTCCTGATCAGTAATAGTGCCGTCAAATTCACCCCACAAAAGTGCTAATGGAGTGTTTATATTCTCCAAAGGAATCTGAGGAGGATTTTCTGTTCCATATACTTGGAGATTTTTTTCAATGCCATGGTCAAAATATGTTAGTTGTGAAGTCCTAACACTCTGATATAAGTGTTGTAGCAGTCTGATTCCAACTCCATTAAAAGCTCTAGCTAGAAAGAAGTCCATAGAATCATTGTCGAGGGAAGATGGATTTTCTTCAGCAAATAACAAAGCTGTAAGCCCAGTACATAGAGGATGAATCTGAAAGCAAAATTGATAAAAAAAATGTTTGATTATAGAGCTGCTTTCACTAAAATAACTTATTCCTAGGGATCTTATAGTCTCTAGGATCCATGGGTAAACTCCCAATATAACATCCAATTGAGAATGACAATGAGCCATCATCAAAGCAGGAGCGCTCAAAATAGCCAATGATATTCTTGGCCCAAAATATTCAGGTTCCAACGCTAAAGCAATTCCTAATGTTGCTCCCCCAAGAGAGTGACCAACGATTGCTACTTGTGAATAATCTGTATTCTCTAATATAAATTCTACAAACGCCATATAGTCATATCTTACTGTATCCATATAAAATTCCCAATAATCATCATCAGTAAATGGGTTCAAGTTAATATGCTTTTGGCTGTAAGCGTTACCCCGGAGGTTAGACAGCCACACATCCTTGCCTTGGTTAGCAAGATAAAATGCTGGAGAGTAAACACCACCAAGCCTTGTAAACGTTTCAGCAGTTTCATAAGAAGGATGAGACAATAAGATAGGTTCTTTGCTAGTTGTAACGTCTGGATTTTCAGGTCCATTTGGAATTCTCATCAAGGTCAATATATAGCCATCCTCAGTAGTGACCTCATACTCTTCATAACCAAAGCCTAGTGCTTCTGCTCTCTCTCTGACACTCATCTTCCAGTACTCATCTGCCTCTGCCGTAGCATGGGAGTTATAGGCTGGCACTATTAGTAAAATTACGAAGATTTTTATAAAGAAACTATTCGTTTTTAGGTAGTACTTATACATTAATAATATTGAATTTTAATATATTCTGGCTTCTTTCAGATCATGGGGTTTTGGGGTTTTGGGGTTTTGGGG